ATCCAGACCTGAGGGTTTAATCCAGACCTGAGGGCTGATCCAGACCTGAGGGTTTGATCCAGACCTGAGGGTTTAATCCAGACCTGAGGGCTGATCCAGACCTGAGGGTTTGATCCAGACCTGAGGGTTTAATCCAGACCTGAGGGCTTGATCCAGACCTGAGGGTTTGATCCAGACCTGAGGGTTCGATCCAGACCTGAGGGTTTGATCCAGACCTGAGGGTTTGATCCAGACCTGAGGGTTTGATCCAGACCTGAGGGTTCGATCCAGACCTGAGGGTTTGATCCAGACCTGAGGGTTCGATCCAGACCTGAGGACCCAACCTTGGGCTAAAGGGCTAAATATAGACCAGAGGGCCTGAACTTGGGCTGAGGGCCCAATCCAGACCTGAGGGCTCAATCTAGACCTGACGGGCCTGAACTTGAGCTGAGGGCTTGATCAAGACCTGAGGGCCTGATCCAGACCTAAGGGCCCAATCCAGACCTGAGGGTTTGATCCAGACCTGAGGATCCGACCTTGGGCTAAAGGGCTAAATCCAGACCTGAGGGCCTGATCTAGACCTGAGGGCCTGATCCAGACCTGAGGGCCCGATCTAGACCTTAGAGGCCCGATCCAGACCTGAGGGCCTGATGTAGACCTTAGGGGCCTGATCCAGACCTGAGGACCCGACCTTGGGCTAAAGGGCTAAATCCAGACCAGAGGGCCTGAACTTGGGCTGAGGGCCCGATCCAGACCTGAGGGCTCAATCTAGACCTGAGCACCTGAACTTGGACTGAGGGCTAAATCCAGACCTGAGGGCCGGACCTTGGGCTGAGGATTTGATCCAGACTTGAGGGTTTGATCCAGACCTAAGGGACCGGACTTGGGCTGAGGGCTCAAACCAGACCTGAGGGTTCGATCCAGACCTGAGGGCCCAATCCGGACCTGAGGGTTCGATCCAGACCTGAGGGCCCAATTCGGACCTGAGGATTCGATCCAGACCTGAGGGCCCAAACCAGACCTGAGGGTTCGATCCAGACCTGAGGGCCCAATCCGGACCTGAGGGTTCGATCCAGACCAGAGGGCCCAATCCGGACCTGAGGATTCGATCCAGACCTGAGGGCCCAAACCAGACCTGAGGGTTCGATCCAGACCTGAGGGCCCAATTCGGACCTGAGGATTCGATCCAGACCTGAGGGCCCAAACCAGACCTGAGGGTTCCATCCAGACCTGAGGGCCCAATCCAGACCTGAGGGTTTCATCCAGTTCTGAGGACCTAACCTTGGGCTAAAGGGCTAAATCCAGTCCAAAGGGCCTGAACTTGGGCTGAGGGCCAGATCTAGACCTGAGGGCCCTTTCAGTAGACTGATCTCCTCCATTATCATTAACTTGATTGGGGCAGAAACAGAAAATGTGTTGTTCTGAGGAGGAAACATAATGACTGATGAACTTTTAAATAATTCAGTGTAATTCAGAGCTTCTTTGGGTAACTCTGAATCCTAAACCACAATTTTTAAAGACAGCAGGTAGAAAAGGGAGAGGAAGAGAATGTAATGAAGAGGATGCTGGGTACTCACAGATAGTTTGTATGAGTTTGTTGAAGTCCTGTGTGGTTTGTGGGTTGGAGCTCGGCTTTGGAACCGTAGAATGTCCATCGTATTTCAGGCTCACAGTAGGATATGTCACTTGAGGAGACTGAGGCACAAATGGCCTTGCTGTAGATCTGTCTTTCTCGTAGACCTCCGGATATCCTGGTGTGATGGCAATGGTGGTTGTCAGGGAGACAGTGGAGGGAGCGGAGTGAGGAAGTGAGACAGTGATTCCTAGCGCGGGGTTTACCAATATAGTGATGGGGTCCTGTCCGATGGGTTTAGGGTCTAACTGAGTTAGCGGTTCGTACTCAAAGATCTTATCCACAAAGACCCATTTGAGTCCAGCTGTGCAAAGAGCTAGGCTAAGCAGACAGGCCAAGATGGGCAGGATGCAGATCTTCTCGGAGTGCAGGCACCGGTTGATCTGCTCCATCTCTATGCACACGCAGCAGGTCGCAGGCAGAGCCACCATCTCCAAAGCGCCCTCCTGCTCCCCGTCGCCACGGCCTTCCTCTGTAATTCCCTTTACACCCTCATCCGCACTCTCGCCAGCTGCCTCCGTCTCCTCTGGTTTCTCCTCTGGGACTGGTCCTGTATCAGGAGGAGGGCCAGTGGGGGAGGCTGTTTCAGGAGAGTAGTCCTCCATTCCCTCAGTCATCCCTGATGAACTGTTGGATGAAGTGTCCCTGAATGCTTCTACCATTAAAACAGGGCATCACACGACCGTGGTCTGCCTCTGGAGTCAGGGATCGGTTCTCCAACATCAGAGGACAGATCTCAGAGGACGGCAGAGCGAAATGCCCTTCAGAGTCTGACAGCCTGACAGCTTTCCACGAGGCAGGTGGCCGACCTGCATCCAAGCAAAAGCAGCTTTTTACTCAAGGGTTCAACAACATATAGAATCACGGAGTTGTACAGAAGTCCATAAATCTGCAGGGAAAAATATGCACGAATGTTCTGCTTGGTTGAGTCGTGAGCAGCAACTGAAAAGTAGCTGTGACTCACCTGAAGACTTTGTCAGGGGAAGGAGAAGGGGCGGTGTCGATGTGATGGGCCGGCTGCAGTAACTGTATCATCAAGGACAGGCTGGCCAGGCACTGCAGTGGCAGGACGGACATGCTGTCTTCTATAAAGTCCTCCAAGCTGCTGAAAGGCTGAATCATCTGGGAGCGGCAGGTGTCCTTCCTCTCAGAGCAGCCAGAGAAACAGATGAGTAAGGGAAAAAAGAGAAAGAAAGAGAATCCTAGAGAGAGGGCGGGGGGCTGCAGTAGCACAGTGGGTCAGAGGAGGCTGGATACTCCCCTTCTTTCCTCTCTCACTCCTCCTCTCTCTGCCTTTTCTCTCCAACTAGAGTGCACAGCAGCCGCCGGCCTCCTCCCTCTCCGCTTCACTTCCTCTGTCTTTGCAGGCTTCTCCCAATCCAAGCACAAAGCATCCAGCTAAGCAAGTTCCTACATGATCCAATTAGAGTGCAAGTCAGCGAATCACAGAGAGCCAACCTGCTGTAGCCGCCCCTTCCAGCACCACTCCCCATTGATTACAGGGAAAGGGGGGGCAGAGAAGCAGACATATGATACGCATGGAAAACGAAATGGCTTAGAAAAGTCTATGCAATTCCCCTAAACCTCATTCATAAAGGAATTCCAACTAAATATGTAGAAATGAGGAATATTTATTTTATTCCATGCATAGAGAAAGTAGCCTTCAAGTTATTATTATTATTATTTTAAGTTATTTAATATTCCCACAGCAGCTCGACTTTCTGGGACTCTGATTGATTGTAGGATCTATTTACCAAAGTCTGAGATGGAAATAAAATGTTGGTATCAGAAAAGATAATAAACTTTATGGATCATCAACAAACACTTTTAAAATCTTTGTCTCATTAACCACAGAAAGAAGGTTTGATAAAAAGGCTTCCTGTCGTCTGAAAAATAAGAGGCAAGTGTGAAATAAAGCCACCAGATCCTCGTTAAAGCAATTAGCCCCGAACCCCATCCCCCACCAGGACTGCCGTCTTATAAATAAGATCGGCGGGGGGGGGGGTTAAACAGGATGAGGATGGCCTAAAAGGTCAGTTTATCACCATTCAGAGCTCTGGCACTCCTGTGACCCTATCCCATCCGCAGACAGAATTAATATCAGTAATGGTATCTGTGGGGGAGCACTTCCTGTCAGGCTCCTGAATTAGTGACCTGACTATTGATTAACTTCTCAGGATACATAATCTGACACAGGAAGTGCAGAATAATAAATATCTGTGGGGTTTACCATACATCTTTGAGTTGTTTAGTCTCAGTTTAGACCAAAAGAGGTGCAACTATTTCCTTTTTTCATGACCTGTTTGGGAATAAAACATTCAAATATGCTAATTATACTGAACGTTTCCTCATCAACGTGAAACCTAAATCCTTCAAATAAACCAGAATCTTGCACAGTTGGTACATAGGTAGAAAAAAAGTGTTGTTTAGATAACGTTATTGGGCCACTTGATCAAACTCCTGGCAGAAGAACAAATATAACTGAGGCCACTTCAATCCAACAAGGTCTCATTTCCTGCTCCTTTAACTCCAGCTAAAAATGT